TACTGATTTGTTCTTTTAGAATAATGTTTTTAGATGCATCTAAAAATAAGTTTTCTTTTGAGATGAGAATGTAACATGAGACTTGAAGATAGTATTATCTCTAGGTAGTATCAAGAATTAGCAATAAGCAAAATAAATTAATGAGTACATATCAAACAAACTTGAGACTTACAGAAGGCCACCCCAGAGTACAATGCACTGTCATGCTGACTCCATTGATTGGAAGGTTTCAGAAGCAACCTTGGATCTGAGACCTCCATGACCTTCTGCCCTCCTATCTTTCCCTGTCTCTCTCTCCAGAAGCAGCACAGGGACAGGCTTTCTCTGAAGTTGCATTATCTGCCTAAAGAGAGACTTTCTGACAAAAGCAACTCAGTTATCAATAGTCCTCTCTAGGGAATCTCACCAGCCAAGAAGAGTGACTGTCACAGAAAAGGAGAATGAAGGTTGACACGATGTCTACTTGTCAACTAAACATTGTCACACGGTTCCATTTATTCTTCTGAAAGTCTGTTTATCTTTTTAAAAAATAATTTATTGGCCCTGAATTGTCCACATCATCTCTCCTCTCTCCTCTGTGAAGAGGGACTATAAGCATATTGATATTACTGGGCATTTTGGTACTTGGTTTTCTGCCTAGCATGCATGCAATATGTTTGCCTGCCTTTTCTATTAGCCTGTCTACTGTAGCTTGTTTCATAGACTCAATGATCAGAACTTTAGAGAATAGAAAGAAGGGTTTTTTTTCTACTTTTACAAAACAAGTATCAAATACATGGGTTTTATAATTTTTAATGTAAGATATGCTAAAAAACGGTATATGTTATTTTATATTTATATATAATAAAGCAGTTAACACTGTTCTTGTCTACCTGTTTTACTCATTGTCTGCAAAATTTAGGGAACTGTCTCATAGAAGCAACAGTTGTAAACTAAGGTTAGAGCAGTGGTTCTCAAATCTTAACAGGTTTCAGAATTACCAGACCTTGTCGAAAATGCACATTGCTTAGGCCCATCCCTAGAGTTTCTGATTCAGTGAGTCTGAGATAGATTGAATATTTGCATTTCTTAACAAATTCCCAGGTGATGGCAAAGCTGTTGATAGATGTTTCATACTTAAAGAACCAGTTGGTATTAACTCTTCTTTGAAAATCTGGTAGAATTCTGCATTGAAACCATCTGATCCTGGGCTTTTTTTTGGTTGGGAGACTTTTAATGACAGTTTCTATTTCCTTATGGGTTATTGGTCTATTTAAATTGTTTATCTGGTCTTGATTTAACTTTGGTATGTGGTACCTATCCAGAAAATCGTCTATTTCTTTAAGACTTTCCAATTTGTGGAGTACAGGTTTTTGAAGTATGACCTGATGATTCTCTGGATTTTCTTGTTGTCAGTTGTTATATCTCCCTTTCCTTGTGCAGCCTTGAGGCAGGGGGAAGGGCTTGGACTTGTCTCTACTGGATGTGCCTCCCCATGGGAAGCCTTGCCTTTTTGTGGGTGGGAGTGAGGGTGGGTTGGGAGGAGGAGGCTGGGGGAATGAGAAGAGGGAAGAGGGGGATCTTTGATTAGTGTGTAAAATGAATGAAAATTTTTTCTTAAAAAAATAAAAGCCAGCTGGGAAGTGGTGGCGCACGCCTTTAATCCCAGCACTCGGGAGGCAGAGGCAGGTGGATCTTTGTGAGTTCAAGGCCAGCCTGGGCTACCAAGTGAGTCCCAGGAAAGGCTCAAAGCTACACAGAGAAACCCTGTCTCGAAAAACAAACTAACAAACAAAAAAGCCAGTTGGTGTAAAGTCTCTTGGACTGCTTACAAATGGTGCAGTAAACAATGCTGAAAGCCTGTGGGGTTTATTGTATTACTCTTGACTTCTTGGGAGTAGTAATTGGCATTGTTTCTATACATTTTAAGTCAGAAGAATAGATCTTTTGTGTCTGAAATAAGGACATACATATTTTTCTTGGTTTGTCCATCTGTACCTGGCATCTCTATACTTCTGTATTTTCTGTGTAGTTCTTCACGTGAAAAGAAATTCTGAATCAAGCAAGACTAAGCCATTAATGTTTAGTCTACAGTCTAAGGAAAGCTATTTTATGATGTAGCTGTTGATCCAGAATATTTGTCTAATAAATTGAGTGCTTCAGTCTATATAGCCCTAGAGTCTTAAATATTTATGTGTTATAATTCCTCAAATTAAAAATTTCATATACACAAAACGTGTGAATATGTAAGAAATGGTATACTTTGGTTCTACCTTTGCAGCCATGGAAATAATTTATAATACCACCATAACTAAACTACCAGAGTAAAGGATACTTGAAGAACTAGGTTAGATAATTGCTTCATAGTGAACAAGCTAAGACCTAGGGAGCATAAGGGATTTGTCTAGTGTCATAAGCAGAATTTATTGCTTAGTTCTTGATGGCTGGTAGATACCATATAGTCAGTCCAGAAACACATTGCCCTCTAACCCAGTTACCATATACATCCTTTAAGTATACTTTACTATTCATACATTAAAAAGGAGAATTTTTATTTTAATATGTGACAGGATTGTAATTTATTTTTCTGAAAAGAGGTAACCAACTGATATCAATCATTTCAATTGAACAATTCTCCAAGTAAGAAAGTAGATTCACTCTGCACTTTAAAGCTTGTCTGCTTATAGCATTCCCTATTATCTGTGTGATTTTTGAGTGAGTCACTTAACCTTTCTAAGCCTAAGTTTCTTCATCTATAAAAATGGAGATAATCTTAAATCAGACCAATACATCAATGCATTTACCAGAATGGTTGGCTTACCGTGAATGCTCAGAAATGTTAATATATTGTAGTGATAACCCTGAAATGTGGTGTACAACTCTTAAGCAATTTCTAAATAATCAGAAATATTTAAAGTTTGGAGAGACAAACAGAGTTGGAATCATTTTGAGTTAAACGAGTGTCAGTATGTTTCAATTCTAATTTCTCCCTCACTAGTCATATGCTCTATAGCATGTTGAATAATATATCTGTGTCTCAATTTCCTATCATAGCAACATTATCTAAACATGACATTTCTGTAATTTTAAAAATTATATAAATATATTTTTTTTATATATGGGTGTATATTCATAAAAATCTAGGAGAAAAAAGAAAAAAAAGAGAAAAAAAAAGAAAAAAAATCTAGGAGAAAAACCAAACTATAACATTGCTAGCCCAAGAGGAAGATGATTGAGATTATTGGGAAATCAAAGTGAGGTGGTGCTAAAGTTAGATCTTAAGTGTGGCTGGGGTTACATGTCACGTTAATGTCCTATTCTTGGGCCCCATGTATTAGTGAGTAAAAACTCAAGTTTTTGAGTTAGACCTGGATTTAATATCTTTTTTTTTTTTTTTGACAGGGGAGACAGGTACTGGGAATTAAACCAAGGGCTACATTGAGCTAAATCCTCAACCCTGATCTAAATTGAATTTCTGATTCCTCTACCTGCTAGCTGTGTAGTGTTCTAACTTTCATACATACAAAAGAAAAAAAATATTTTGAGTATACTACTATAATTCCAGTCCTCAGAAGCCTGAGGAAAGAGGATTACAAGTTTGAAACTCATCTGGGTCAAACTGTGAATTTTGGCCTAGTCTAGCTTACATACTGAGATGTGCCTCAAAAAGAGTAGGTCTAGACATACTCATTCTGAGAACGAAGGTGAATGGACATCAGCCAAAGAAACCACTTGTTTCTTGGTGAATCACCAGATCACAAAAAGAGTCTAGCTATGCAGACTCCAGTTCATAATAATTCCATTATCTGAGTAATGCCATGTGCCCAAGCCCAAGAAACTCTGTGGAAGGGTTTAAACTTAGAGTGACTATCTCCATGAATGTACCCCAGTTTCAACAGTTGTCAGTATTTTCACTTGGACTCCATTTGTTCTTCTGCTTCTTTAATTGTGGCCAAGAGAACTAAATGTGGAGTGGTGCCTTAATGCCAGCTGCTCTGGAAGTGGGGAGGTGCCAGAGGCCATGACTTTGATCCCTGGTAGGCACTGATTTGTGCAACCGGGAGCTATTTTTGTAAGAACATGGGAAAGCTCCTGTACCTTTTCAACACTTGCTGGGAGTTACACCTTTTCCTAGTATTCCTAAGAGGAGAATTTCAGGTAATCATTTAAGAACTAAGAAACAGAAATATAATCAAGTTTGCTTTGGTAGTTGGGTCAAGATAATGATTTTTTTATACCTCTGTTAGACAGAACACATAGATCCATTTACTATTAGCACAAAGAGGTGTCATATTTAAATAGATGAGAAATCAGTAGTTTGTAATGAATGGATTTTGAAAATAATGTAGCATTGAATGAACATGCTAAGAGAATGCTGGGAATTTAAAAAATGGGCATAATGTCTCATTATTTGTATGCAGCCATCACGTTAGAATACAGATTAGAGATTTAAATCATTTACTATTAGGTATTTGCTTCTTGGGAGAATAATCATTATTTTCTCCCTGGGTATTGCCTACTTGAAGCAGAAGGTACTTTTTGCAGGTGGTGTATACCTGCTGAGTAGAGAATTGATTGGTATCTTCAAAAGTAAAGGCTCATAAAATGTCTTCTGAAATATTCACTAGCTTTTTTACAGCAGCTTATTTTTTTGCTTGTTTTATATTTATCACAGAATTTAATTTGCTGTGATTTAAATTGCATTTTATTTCTCCCATGGTTATAGAAATGGTGCCCATATTTCATAAGTGTGTATCGAACACCTAACACAGTGCTGGACATCTGAAGTTCTAGTTAAAAAAAAAAGTTTTAAAATTATTAAGTATTTTTTCTATATCGTCTAACATGAGATAACTCCAGTGCATTCTGCTAAAGAAAAAAATAATAATCACAGGAGCAGATATGGTGATGCATCCTTGTTATCCAGCACTTGGAAGGCTGAAACAAGAGGCCTGATGAGACTTTGAGACCAAGCTGGGCTATATTAAAAGACCCTGTATCAAACAACCAAATACTTGCTAATCACATTTTTATTTTTTAATCACATTTTAACATAATAATTCATTTTTTTAGGAATATGGGCTCTTGAACCAGACAGCCTGTATTTAAAATATTAACAGTTGCTTAACTGACACTGAGTTCCGAGCAAGCAAGATCTTCATCTTTGCGGATTTTTCTACCTGTGAAATAGGATATTATAAAGATTAAATGATTTAATATATTTTTATGAACATAGGAATTTATTAGGTAGTCGTGGTTTAATAAACATTAGGGTTAATGCTTTTAACACTACTGGTAATGTGTTGTTTAAAAATAATCATCAGTTTTTAAAACATTAAAATATTCTGCATTAAGTCTGATTTTATTATAGAATTTGGTATTTGTATTGAATTGGAAATTCAAGCAGAATTTGTATCTGAAAATTATTTTCTCTGCTCCTTTTCTTTAAGTCTGCTGTTAAATATCAAAGTCATTGAAGTATTAATTTCAGATATGACTTCTTCCAAAGTTCTTTTCCATCTTCTGCCTTCCACTCTCCCAAAACAATTTTATTCATTTCTTCTCTATGATTTTTCGTACTTCCTTTGATTTCTAAAATAGTTCTCATATACATCGGCCTCTCTGTAGACTTTAACTGTTGCTCGCTGTAATCACTAGAAAAGTATGGGAAGAGGAGTTGGTAAAGTTGTTTGTGATTTGTTATTGCAAGAATATTGAATGTGTTTGATACCCAGTGGGAAAAATTTACCTAAACACATTATTTTTAATTTTTGAGAGAGGAAGGATCACCCTTTGTATCATACTTCCCTGAAGGTTGGAAAGATAGTAAGATCCAGAATATAACTGAAGAAGTTTCATTTCAAGTAGTACTGTGATTTAAATGTGTCTCTAAAGCTCATCCAAACTTAGGTCCTCATACCAAATTTCCCAGCACCCTGATGGTCTGCTTTAATCATAACACATTTTGTATGTAATTTCCCTTTAAGTCTTTAAAACAAGACCTTTACATGGAACATCAAGACTTGTAAGGTATTAAGTTTGTTGATATTTAATTAATATCCTTCATTTGAACAATTTAAATAGCTAATGAAGTTGAAATATATATAAAAAATGAAATCATTTTCATAAGTTCCACTTCCTTCTTTTAAAAAAATTGTTTCATTCTGAAAGTCAGTGTCCTATGTCCTTAATTCATTGTTTGTGATTTTTTTAAATTAAGATGCAACATAAATATAGAAAGTGTCTGAATGTAATTCTTTGTCCTGAAATCTTGTGAAGTGAATATACTCCTATATATCAGGTGCTAGCAGACTCAAGATAGAGAACCTTATCTGTTCTTACACTTGTATTCAGACACTTTCCTCATACCTCCTCCATGCCCTTACCCATCTCTAGCATCTTTTGTTTCACTGCCTTTTTAGCTTATATAAATGAAATCCTTTGGTGTGTATTCTTAATACTGTGCCAGATGTTTTGATTGCTCTTCTTTCATTTTCCATTATTGACGGTTGAGTTCAGATTTTGTTTATATGAACAATTCTATGACTGCCTGTTAAATGTCAATTTTTTTTTAAATTTTCCTAATGAGATGCAAAAATGCAGGTGTTAAATGCTACAAATTTTAAGTTATATTTATTTAATGGGAAGTGCATGCATAGCAGGCATGCAGAAAGCCATTTCTCAATTTTTATTAGATTTTTCTCATTGATTTGGGGTACAGGGATTTATTTTCTGGATATAGGCCTCTGTTGGTTATATGAATTGCAGTTATCTTTTTTTTTAATCCTGATGTTATTTAAAACTATAGAGCACTTCTTGAGTTTATGTGTCATCCTTGCACATGGGCCATGATCATCTTCCCTGAATCATTAAATTTTAGTGTATGTGCTGCCAAATTGCAGTTATCTGTAGCCACTCTGTAGCTTATCTTTTCACCCCTTTACTAGTGTCTTATTAATAAACTTTACTTTGCCAAATTTTCTCTTTGTTGATTTTTTTGTATATTAAGAAATTTGGGGGGGGGGTGGCGCTGGGGAGATGACTCAGAAGTTAAGAATACTTACTACTCTTGCAGAAGATCCAGGTCAGTTCCCAGTACCCTCATCAGGCATCTCCCGGGCATCTGTCACTCCATTTCCAGAGAATTCAAAGCCCTCTGGATTCCACAGGCACCTGCTCCTATGTATACCTGTGAGGGGACCCTGCAGGTGTCAATGCAGGCAGTGATCTGCAAAGAGATGAGAATGAAAACGCGGTTAAGATTGACTTTGACTTTGGGGGATCTAATGCCAACTAGTTCACTGTCTGCATTTTCAAACATAGTACAATTTGGAAAAAGTTTCCTGGCAACAGTCCTTCCCAGTTCAGATGCACAATGAAGCTTAAGGTGTGACTACATAGAAACTCCTTTACAAAGTACATGTGACCATGAGGGTGGGTTCTATAGCTAAAAGGCCTTGAATCTAATGTGGTCTCTGACCAAGATAGCATAAAGGTCAGCAAACCATAGAATATGTGTGTGTTATGATTGCTGAGATTAAAATACTACAAACAGTATGCCTGCTACTAAGTTACTTGTTTTACAGTGTTGGAGACCAAACATGGGCTCTTGGGCATGGTAGGCAAATGCTCGATCACTACATACACCCTCACCATTTCATATTTCAGCATTCATTAGTTACACCATTTCCTTCCAGCAATGCACTAAATCATGGTAATTAGAAGCCTGGATTTTGGAGTAAGGGAGTCTGAGTAAAAAATCCTAGTTTTGGTGTGTATTGCTTGTGTGACTTTGAACTGATTATACTCCATATGCCTCAGTCTAATCTTAAGTAAAGTTATAGTAATAATACCTACTTCATAAGGTTATAAAGATTAAGTAAGGTAAGCTGAATGTGGGAGTACATGGCAGTAATTCTAACACTCAAGAGGCTGAGGCAGGAAAATCATGAGTTTAAGGTCAGCCTGTGCTGTATAGTGAGACCCTATCTCAGAACACAACAAAATGGAGTTTCCTACACCTATAATGATTGAAACAACCTGCTCTGTTTTAAGCCACTGAGATTATAGGATTATTTGTTTGACAAGTACTAGAAGTAGATGAGGGAAGATAAGGCAAGAGCACTACTGTCTTCTTACAGTCAGAAGATAGTGTCACATTCTTTATGAAGAAAGAAGTTGATCCAGGTACAGTGACATGCCTACTATTCCAGCATTCAGGAGGCTGAGGCAGAAGGGTACAAGGTCAAGTTCAACTTGGGCTGTGGGCAAAATACTGCCTAAAAATAATTTTTAATGATTAAATAAGTTGAGATTTGTAAAGTATTTAGAATATCAACTTATATATATTAAGTATTGTGTGTCACTAAACAATCATATAGTGATCCTTTGTTTCCCATATAGATTATAGCCTTATCTTTTTTGTGTTTTATAAATACTAGTAAAACCCAGTATTAAAATTTATGTTTAGAAAATATTTGGTAATTACAGCTTTTTAGGAGAAAATGAAATGGAGCCCTTGAATATCTAGAGATCTAGAATTTATTATAAAAATTGAGAATTAATTTAACATATAGCAGAGAAAAGGCATTGTTTGTGAGCTGAAGGAAAGCAGTTTATTGTTTTATTTAATCAATAAACAAGTTTCAGTCATTTGAGGATATAATACTACATAAACACATATTTATAGTATATAAATAATTCTGCCTATTATTTCTGTTCTGTTGCATAGAAATTTATGGTACCCGTTGAAAGGAAAATAGATCCTTTGGCATAAATTCAATGATAATTCTGTGTAAATTTTTCCACAGACAGAACTTTAGTTTAATACTAATATACAAAAATATACATGCATCCCTTGTCTGATAGTCCCATTTGTGACCTTAGGAGGGAATTCAAGGTAAATGGGAAACTGAATGGTAAAAATCAAAACCTTTCTTAGCATTTGAAGTATTTAAATGTTTAATGCAGATTATCATAAACTATAAAAAGCTTTGTGTCTTGGTGACAAGCCATGTGACACTATAGCTAAAGCTTGCTGTGGTAAAAAGATATAAAAAGCATTCTAAAATACTCTATAGGATCTGTGTATGACTTCTTACAAAGTGAGAGTAAGCACATCTGAACTTAAAACCTGAAAAATACTGACTTATGTCCATGTAAATATATCATGGAAAAACTTTTCCATATCACATTTATGGTGGATCATTTTGAGCTTCTTGGCTCAGTTTTCAATGATTTAAAAAAAAAATCTTAGGAATGAATAGTCGAAGGTTAGCGGGGGAGGTGGCTGCAGACAACGCTAAGTTTGGGAAAGATAATTCTTATAGTTGGCAGCCATTGAAATGCCAATCTATCTAGAAGAGAAACCCAAAAAGCTAATTGTATGGAAAGAATGTAACATTCTTTAAGCAAGAGGGCTAAAATGAATGCCAGAGATTGGGGATTTTAAGGATCTAAATTTCAGGGCAAAAATGAGCCATAGTTTCCTTTTGAAGTGATAAAAATATTCTAAAATTGGGTTGTGGTTATAGCGATGTAATTTTATGAATAAACTGAAAGCCACTGAATCAACTATTCACTGACTGGGGTAAAATTTACAGTATCTGAATTCTGTTTCAGTTGGGGCAGGGGGATGAAGTGGTGGTGACTGAGGCACCTTAGCTTAGAGTAGGAGCACAACCAACATAAGGACATTTGTGTACAGCGTCACCATAGGTAGCAGTGAAATGTGTTACATGGAGGGAGAACAGACTAAGAAGAACAGAGGCCTACTTTGTTAATATTATAGGAAGAGAATTGTATCTTATGGACTAATTCTAAAGTATTGAGTTAGAATTAGAGATGTCACTGAGAACTCTGTGTGTGTGTGTTTACAAACAAAAATGGAAATAATATGTGTACATACATTTGCACATATATGTATATACAAATACTACTTTGCAAATATATGTATCTATGAATACAACCTGACTGTTCACTGAACAGGTCCTGGAGGAAGTGATATCCCAGTAACAATTGACACACCTAGTATATAGCTGTTGATGTTCTAAATACCTTTTTTCTCTAAGAAGAACAAAGACTTCTGAAGAGATTATTTAATTCCATAGCTGAGACAGGGAAAATACCAGATGAGCCTGAAAAATCATGTGCCATAGAGCTGTGTCTAAAACATGGCAAGAATATGTTAAAAGGCCCTAAGAGCCCAATTAAAGGAGCTTGCTTACCTTAGCTAAATCTAAAACAATTTAAACTAAATCAATACTGATAGTAACCAATTATAGCCCACCACATAAGATAGGAATCAGTGAAATGGATGGGTAGAAAAAGTCACTATTTGAAAACAATGACAGTAATTAATCCAACTAGGAAACGTTAATACTCAAAATAGGAAAAATTAATTGAAGAAGAGTCAGACAAGGATCTATTTATACACCACTGTTCATACTTACTGTTCACTGTAGCTAAAAGCTGAAAACTTATCCAGATGCACAACAACAGGTAAATGAATACTATTCTATTAAAAGGGAATGACATTCTGATGCATGTTAAAACACTAAAAACTTTGAACTCACTATGCTAACTGATAAGCCAGACTCCAAAGAGTAAAATACTGTATGATTCTATTTACACAGGGTGCTTAGATTAGGCAACTTCACAAGGGAAGAAAGTAGACTAGCAGTCACTAGGGGCTGGTAAGAGGAGGAGGACAAAGAAAATCACTGTTTAATGGGACTGTATTTCTTAGGGACAGTGAAAAGTTCTAAAAGTGGATAGTGACTGTGGTTATATAACATTGTATATGTACTTAATGTCAAAGAATTAGAGCACCTAAAAACAGCCTAAAGGAAAATTACATATATAGAGAGAGATAGATATGGAATTTGTATATGTATATATATATGTAAATATATAATCACCACAAAGTATTATAGGAAATGGAACATTTTACATAATTCCAGTCCTCCCATCAAAATACTTATTAACTACAATGGGGAAAAGTATAATTTTAAAATAGAAAAATCTGGCAGACACTGGCATAACAAAGTGATCAAAGTTAACATAGCAAAACTTTTTTGACATTTCTGCCAAAACATATATAACCTGGACTGAATCAAAAGTTAAATTGAGGAACATTGTACTAAACACCTGGACTGTAAGCCTTATAAGAGTCAAGGTCATGGCAGTTAACAGTACTGTTTCAGAGTTTTAAAAATGAACTGATAACTAAGTGAGTTGTGTAAAGCTAAAATGCCCCCTCCTGCTCCAGAGCATGTCACCAAGCAAGGATTCAAGCTTGGGTTCAGCATGGGGCTGAAGTCATAGTAATGGAAAGAGTTAGGATCCTGATTTCTGTGCTGGCTTGTGAGTTATACAAAAGAGCGTGTTTATAAAAAATTCATAGCTTTGGAGGATGAGGAGAAATTATAACTTTTATATGGCTAAGGGGGGGAAGATTCTTAGTCCTATTTTGAAACTTCATCAAAGGTTGAAATTACTTCAGAATATAAGAAGGAGTACTTGCATGAACTCTTTAAAAAGAAAAACCATCAAAAGAACTTGAATGAAATAGCTGTTGTGGCTGAAACGTAGATCCCAAGAGTGAAACTGTGCTTGAAAGCTACTGGTCAAAAAAACAGGAACATGTTTGGCATGTTACAAAAACATTTTTTAAATTCAAGTATTTCCTGTAGATAGATTGAGAATAGTCTCAGTAGATTGTGTGTGAAAATTACCGTCTTTAAAAGTAGGGGAATCAAAGGCTTGGAGATGGATCAGTTATTAAAGTGTTTGCTATGCACACAGGAGGACCTGAGTTCAGTCTCCCACCCACATACAAACCTGTTGTGGTGGCCCAGGATTATAATCCCAATACCAGGAAGGTAGAAACAGGTAGATCTCTAGGACTAACTAGCCAGCCCTTCTTAGTCAACCTTCCCAAGTACCACTGAAAGACCCCCATCTCAAAAACAAGGTAGATGGCTCCTGAGGAACACCTGAGGTTTACCTCTGGCCTCTACGCACAGGAGCATACATGAACCCACACAGAAGTTTAAAAATTCAGCTGATAGTCTGGAGCATTATAATTTTTGAGTTTAGAATGTGAAAACTAAAGAAAAAACCAAACTGAATATAAAAGCAGTAATAAAAGTAGACCATTTTATTTTTAAGATTCATGTTTGCTGTCTTCTTGTTCCAGGTGATGTTGAACAGGAACTTGGGCCACCT